AAATGCACTTGTTACTAGTAGCGTCTTGCTACTAGTAGAAATGCCCTCATTACTAGTAGTAGCTTCTTGCTACTAGTAGAAATGCCCTTATTACTAGTAGTAGCTTCTAGCTACTAGTGGAAATGCGCTTGTTACTTGTAGTAGCTTCTGGCTACTAGTAGAAATGCCCTTATTACTAGTAGCTTCTTGCTACTAGTAGAAATGCCCTTATTACTAGTAGTGTCTCGCTACCAGTAGAAATGCCTTTGTTACTAGTAGCTGTAGCTTGTTGCTACTAGTAGCAATGCCCTTGTTCCTAGTAGCTTCTTGCTACCAGTAGCAATGCCCTTGTTACTAGTAGCTTCTTGCTACTAGTAGAAACGCCCTTGTTACTAGTAGCTTCTTGCTACTAGTAGAAATGGGAGGGGTATTTATTTTTGGATTTTTTTTGTTTCTTTTTTTTTTTTGGTTTTTCGTGGCTTCTGGCTTCTGGCTTCTGTGGCTTCTGGCTTTTGTGGCTTTTGGCTTCTGTGGCTTCTGGCTTTTGTGGCTTTTGGCTTTCGTGGCTTTCGTGGCTTTCGTGGCTTCTGTGGCTTTTGGCTTTTGTGGCTGTTGGCTTTTTGGCCTATCCATCTATCTGTCTATACCTATCTATTTATCTATCTATCTATCTTTCTTTCTTTCTTTTGGCAGCTGTTCTCCTTTCTCTTTTTGTATTTGCTTTTCCTGTTGTTTTTGTTGCAGAGACGAAACCAAACAAGGAAGCAAGCAAGCAAGCAAGCAAGCGCGAGCTGCTCACCTTTGGATCTGGTGTGCTGCTGGGGGGGGCGCTGCGCCCCCCCCAACCCCCCCCGCGCCACGAAATCTGCACTTCATCCCCGACACCCGCGCCTGCCACGAAATCATCCCCGGTGCAAAACGTTCTAACCAAGCAAATATGCTTCCTCTATCTATCTATCTATCTTATCGTATCGTATCGTATCTTATCTTAACTTATCTAATCTAATCTAATCTAATCTAATTTATCTATCTATCAATTTATCTTTCTATCTTTCTATCTTTCTGCAGTTCAAAATCCACAAAGTATTGCACCTGCCACGAAATCTGCACTCCAAGGCCCACAAAGTCCTGCACCTGCTACCAACTCTACACTTCCACACCCACAAAGTCCTGCATCTGCCACGAAATCTGCACTTCAAGGTCCATAAAGTCCTGCGCCTGCCACAAAATCTGCACTCCAAGGGCCACAAAGTACTACACCTGCCACGAAATCTGCACTTCAAGGCCCACAAAAAGTCCTGCGCCTGCCACAAACTCTGCACTCCAAGGCCCACAAAGTCCCTCGCCTGCCACAAAATGTGCTTTGCAAGGTCCACAAAGTACTGCACCTGCCACGAAACACGAAAAATAAAAAATTTTCCCCCCAAAAAAACGAAAAAATATATCTGCGCACCCGTAGAAATGCCCTTGTTACTAGTAGCTTCTTGCTACTAGTAGAAATGCCCTTGCTACTGATAGCTTCTTGCTACTAGTAGAAATGCCCTTATTACTAAGAGCTTCTAGTAGCTTCTTGCTACTAGGAGTAATGGCCTCCAACCTACTAGTGATGGCCCTGAACCTAGTAGCTTCTTTCGACTGATCTTTGTTGCAAGGTCTCCAAGCTTTTTTGACCAAGCTGGTGGTGAACCCCAGTCGCTACTAGGAAGTAGTGCTACTGGTAGCTGTGATGCAGAATAGCTCAGGCTTCTTTAGGGGAACTCCCAATCCCTCAATTCCTAGTCACTCCAACCTGTATTTGATGTATCGCAGCATACTCGAGTGACTAACGTTCGTCAATCTGCTATTCTTTTAGATCCTTTCTTTGAATACTCCAGATTTCTTCCATTCTGGCTCATGGTATATTCGTGATCCATGGTCCTCTCATGTCATCAATGGTGATTTCCTCTTCTTTGAGTTGTAGTCCCTGGCTGGACAAACTCGTTGCTGAGAGCTCAAACTGACCTCTCCCAAACTGATCATTCTTTTTGCACACTGTGCATTTGATCAAACTCAGCCAAACGCTTGATCATACTGGCAAGGGAACCTGCTATGCAGCGCTGCATGGCTGTTGCACCTTTTACCAGAACTGCTCCTGTCTGCCTCAACTCGCCTAAGTGCTTCTGCCCGCTCCATGTAAGACCTTGCCGTCAAGGGGTTCCAACAATCGATTCAAGCAGGTTACCAACCGATCGTGAATACCACTGCTTGGCCACTAGTCCCTGCTTGGCCTTGGATTTTTGCTTTCAAGGCCCCTTTCATTTTTACTAGTGACATTGGAATGAACGGACCCTTAGCAGCTGTCTCGTAGCTTTCCAAGCCAACAGTCGACTTGCCAGCATTTTGCTTGGCTGCTCACCGTTCGCAGTCAGGCCCAATGCCTTTATCCAAAATAGACATCTTTAATGACAGCTCCACTTGGCTCCCTAGGTGTTGGTTCTATATTTTGTTTAGCAGATTCTTTGCCGAGGCTAGGCGACAAGGCCCAGTCTCGAAAGATGAGCATCGGCCAGAGTCCAAGCTTTTCCTTTCAGGTTCCTTCGAGTAAAGCTTATTGTCGTCCAGCTTGAACATATTGTCCCTATTATTGCATCGACCAATGTGTAGAAAGTGGCTTGCGAGCCTTTCTTCATGCTCAGGTTCCAGCCAAGATGCAGGGTTCTCTTGGCCCGTTTGGTTACAGTGAAGAAGCATTTGCATTTGAACGGTCAGCTGTGCAGTGCCCAGGAGAGAATCATTCGTAAACAAAACCGTTCAAGAGTTCGGAGACAAGATTGATCCCGTTGGCTTCTCAGCTAAACTACAGTGCAGAACACGTGAACACGTGAACAAAGGCCAAGTGCAGGATCATTTGCTCACAAAGTTTCTAGCAGCCCATCCTTGCACAAGCTGCTGCATCATTGGAACCAGAAGGCCCAGTAGCAAGATTGTTGGTATTCGTGCTACTTGCACCAGGAAGAGAAGGAAGGTGATGAATGTTTGATGACATTTTTCAATCATGTTCTGATGAGTCTGTGAAAAACATCTAAAGGTTCTCATGCCTTTGAGCTCTCAAGCTGCCCAGCCCCCTTTTTTCCTTGCTTATCGGCCTGGGCTCGACCCTTCATGCTTTTCCAGACCAGAAAGCTCCTGCTTGCTCCCTCCCTCTGACTAAAAGACTATTCGGTTATGGTTAGTTTTCTTCAAAACGACTCCCTGCAATCAGAAAAGCTGACATTCTGACACTCGCGCGAGGTGAAGATTACATAGTTCAATCCAAGAGGAAAGCATTTTTCGGTAAGTAATTGGGGGTCTCCACATAGATGTGTCTAGACTGACCAATTCTGATTTTGCATGCCCAGAAAGCGAATCGTCTTGGCTACACATGTCAGCTTCTCAGATTCTTCATTCGATTTTTTCTCTTAGAACTGTGGATGAGCTAAGGCAGAAAAGGGCTGAAGCCAGAAAGTCCTAATCAGGAGCGTTCTTTGGTGCAGATCGATTTGCAACTCTGACTCACATCAACTGTGAGGATTCTTGGTTTTACCTCAAGGTGGAAGATCACTTTTCCCTCTACGCCGTTTTTGATGGACATGGTAGAACAGGCACCACGCTTTACAGAATCGCTCTTTACTTTACTCCTTACGAACCTAATAGCAGTGGCCTCCAACCTAATTGCAATGGCCACGTGTTTGCATTTGCTGCATTTGCTGCATTTGGTGCTGAAGTTTGGTGTTTCGCTTTGCAGGGCATGATGTTTCGCAATATGTCAAAGACAACCTGCCAAAGATCATGTTGATGGTGGGGGCGACGCACCCCGCACCGGCGAACTTGTGCACCGGCGGAGCGCTTCTTCACGAGTGCTTCTTGTTAGCTCACTTTGAAGGACGAGCGCTTCAAGGAGGGTTCGGATGACTTGCCTGAACTCTTGAAGGCTGGATCATGTGAGAAAACGAAGCGTTTTCCCTAAAAACTCGTTTTTTCATTGAGAAAACGAAGCGCTCCACACGAGATTCATTGAAGCACACGCTTTTCTGTGTCCCTGATAGCTTCCTGTCGCCTCCGTGTCAGCTACTACTGCAGCTTGCCGCAGCTTGTCTTCTTGCTACCGTATGGCATACCCCTCTCTTGGCCCCCCTCTCCAACAAAACCATGATATCATAATATCTATTGAAGGACTTTCTTTAAGTCTATTTGTCTATTAGACAAATGTCTGTTTTTGCTTCCGAAATCGGACCTGGCGCGCTAGGATTCCTTTCTACAAATCCAGAACCTGGTCGAGG